AAACAAAAAGATCTAGGTTTAGGTTTACATCTTAGAATAAATTAATGTCTGAGATGGGGATATTATTATTTACCTGAAAAAGACATTGAGAATAGGAGTAATGCAAGTAAAATTTCTGGAGATAGTTAGTGCTCAATAAGTAATCATTTTTATTAGCCGTTATTACTATTTTGTATCTAAAATATCTCAGAGCAAAGTTAACTATGAAATTAGCTTTATACACAAAAGTGTCTACATGGATTATTTATAGTCAGAAATATCCTAAATGTCTTCCCACAGGAAATGGCTACATAAATTATGGTTCATGTTCTCACTGGAATATCTTGCATCCATTAAAATGAATGTTTATGTAGGTTATGTAATATCATGGCAAAATGCTCATGGCGGGCTTCCCTGGTGGCGCAGTGGTTGAGAATCTGCCTGCCAATGCAGGGGACACGGGTTCGAGCCCTGGTCTGGGAGGATCCCACATGCTGCGGAGCAACTGGGCCCGTGAGCCACAACTACTGAGCCTGCACGTCTGGAGCCTGTGCTCCGCAACAAGAGAGGCCGCGATAGTGAGAGGCCCGCACACCGCGATGAAGAGTGGCCCCTTGCTTGCCACAACTAGAGAAAGCCCTCGCACAGAAACGAAGACCCAACACAGCAAAAATAAATAAATAAACTAATAAACTCCTACCCCCAACATCTTCTTTAAAAAAAAAAAAAATGCTCATGGCAATGTTTAGTGGAAAAAAGCTGAGTAAGATTACAATTTTAAAAAAGGAAAAAATATGAATAACAGCCTAGCAGAAAAAAATACTGAAGTGTTAACAATGACTGTGCTTATGAAGACTATGGATTATCTATTTTCTAGTATTATTTTCTTCATTTTCCAATTTTTTTGAAGTGAGTACGGAATATTTTTGAAATTAAAATCTACACATTTAGGGAAGGAAAAACAAAGATGCTCTGAAAACTTAATTTTGTAATCTGAATACTATTTAAAGAGTTAGTCTTGGGCAACATGATGGAGGCTATGACACTTCTCTGCCCATGAAAATTTCTGAAAAGGGAGAGGAACCCTCTGAAGTTCTAAAACTGAAGACTTGACTTGTCAATGACCTCATCTATTATGAGAATCCTTGAGGACTCTGATGGGGACCACAGGGCAAGAATCCAGAAGCGCTGGTAAACCAGAGTCTATTCTTGGAACCATGTTTGGGGAAATGGATCAGCGCCTTCACCTAGCGCACTTGGGGAGGGACAAGCTTCCAGATTTACAAACATCTGACTGCTGTCTGCCTCAGAGTCTGACTTTTCCTGCATCCTTTTCCCTTCCCTCCTCCTCACACTTCTATCATCCGCCTCCCCTCAAAAGCTGAGAGTTTGAGAAAACAATCTGGTGTAGAATGTATAATAGCACAGTGTTTCCGGAGGGCAGTTCAGCAATAATGGGCACACCCTTTAATCTAATCATCTTACTATTGGCAATCAATCCCAATGAAATAAACAGAGAGATGTGGGGAAAATGTATTTAAAAAGCTGCTGACCAGGACTTCCCTGGTGGTCCAGCGGTTAAGAATCCGCCTGCCAATGCAGGTGACGCAGCTTCGATCCCAGGTTGGGGAACTAAGATCCCACATGCCGCAGGGCAACTAAGCCCGGGTGCCACAACTACTGAGCCCATGTACCTCAACTAGAGAGCCCATGTGCTGCAACTACTGAGCCCGGGTGCTCTGGAACCTGCGCACCACAACTAGAGAGAAGGCCGTGCACCGCAATGACAGATCCCATGTGCCGCAACTAAGACTCAACACAGCCAAATTGAAAAGAAAAAAAAAAAAAAAAAAAAAAAAAAAGCTGCTGATCATCAAGCTACAAGGTAAGGTACAACAGTGGGGGCACTGGTTGAATAAATTAATGCTTATCTATATGATGAACTAACGTGTAGCTATTCAAATTGTTTTGGAAGAATATTATTGTAAGTGTTAAGTGAAAAAAAGAAGTAAACTAAACTCTAGGACTCCAATTCAGGAAAAGAAAGACAAACAAAATCCCCGCAGATGTGTGGGTATGTGAATTTGAGTCGACCAGAAAAATACTACTCCAGTAAGTTGAAAAAGTTTTGTTTGGGTTGCATCATGTTGCATGATTACTCGTTCCTTTACACTTTTTGCATGTTTTTAGTGTTTTTTTTAACAATAAGCATACATTAATTTCAGTACAACAAAAAATGGAATATTATCTAACAAACAAACGAACTAGTAATTATTATGGAAATTGAAGAATTTTTATGTCTAAGATTATCTATATTTCAAGGAGAAAATGATTGCTTATCTTGTCTTTTCAGTCCTTTGTACCTGGATCTCCTCACCATCAACAATGACACCATCTACTCACTCATAAAACTTAGTGAATATGTATTAGAACCTCAGTATGCCCTGACATTCAGTTCCTTGCCTTGGTGATGAGTCTATATGTAGGTTCATTTAGCAGTTATGAAAAGATTTTGTGAATTGTTGGACTGCCCATGCCTACTTTCAGAGACAACTGGATTTTCTGGGTCAGCCCATGTAGGCATCAGCTGACAAAGATTGCTGTGGAAACAGATCTAGGGCCAAAATCAAAATGTTGGCCCCAAGAAGGTAAGGGCTGTATTTGTCTTACTTATGGTTGTATGCTCAGCAACCAGCATGCCTACCTGTACATATAGGAATCACTTAGTAATATGTGAATCAATTTTGAATGAGTGAATCAATGAGTTGATATTTGTTTCATAAATGAAGGAAAAAAATCAAACAAAAAACAGTGGTGTGTTGACATCCTATTACTTTTTGGGGGGATGGGAGACAATTCTTTACAAATCTCTCAAAGTCTTCACATCTAGGCATTAACAGCCAATTTACTCAGATTTATTTACATTCCAGGATAGTAAAGAGAGAGAGAACGTTTCCCTCCACGGAGAGGGTCCAAGACAGTAAAGATAAAGACCTGTCTCTCCCCTTCTCAGGGAAGATTTGTTTACACTGCAGGGTAACAAAGATCCTGTCTTGAGCGGGTGGGGGGGATGAGGCAGCTCAGGGTTCCCAGCGTCAGACGCCCACTCTGTGCATGGTATTCACGTGTGCCCACCTCTGCATCGCCCCCCTGGGACTTGGGGAGTAAGGAACCGATGCAAATAGGATACTTACACAGTCTGCTGTGCTGTGAGTAATAAAGCATCTAAGTCTATCTGGGCTCATTGTCTCCTTGTTGGCTAAATCTATGGGGTCACTGAGCTCTTAGTGAATGCTTGGCCATTGGACACACCTAGTATTGTTTTTGCTTGGTGTCGATGGTCTAAGTGAGCAAAAGTGGGTTGGTGGAAGTACCCTGAGTAGGTGTGATTGTACTTTGTCAAATTAGCATTTGGTAAGTGGGGTGTGTGGTGCTGGAGAGTGAGCTGAGTTCGGTTGAAAACAGACCACAGGAGAAATTGAAACAGAGGTTTAGTCCTCACGGGTTGAAGGAGGTACCAGCCACATTTCAAGGGACTACATGGGGAGGTCAAGGCAGAGGTAGAGAGAAAGCCAGGACCTGGAGCACCTGCCTCTATTAGGATCTGTGTGTACAGGGCTTTGGAGTTGCTGGGCTAGGGCCAGATTGGTCAATTCAGACCAAAAGAGCAGGGTTTTGGTAAGCTCCACTGGGGTGAGGGTGGAGTTATCTAAGGGGCACATAAAGGGGCAGGAGCTGGGAGGCAGGGGAGACTGTTGGTCACAAGGGCTGTTGGGAAGTCACATCAGGAACTTACATTTGCTTGGGACCCTGCGGGCCACGCTCTAGGGCACAGGCCTGCATGAGTGGCCTAGCGTTCCCTTAAGGCCCTGCTGGAGAAAATGGAGGCAGAGGCAGCAACACCACGGAGTAACTCAGCTAAACTCTTGACGATGCGCGTCATATTCAGACGAACTTCTCCTTTGTGACTTTGGCTAAATTACTTAATGCCTCAGGTTCCTATATCTATGAGACGACTTTCTTATAGGGTTGTTATACAGCTTAAATACAAAGCATCCAGCAGAGTGGCGGACACACAGTAGTGCTGTGCTTGCAACAGTTAATCTACCCTCTTCCCTGTAAGCCCAGAAATCGTATTACAATGTACTAAATTAGCAGCTATTGACTACTCTTTTATAACTTTTAATCTACAATTTCCACTTAGAAGAAAAGCTCTTTTTTAAATAAATAATTTCATTTAAAACTCTTATTAAAAGTAATTATAGATGCTTTTTCACAGCAATATTTAAAAGATACTTTAATAAACCACTTGTAGATATGTAAAGTCACACAAGAAATATACAAACTAGCTTACTGCACAAATGGAAACCTTATTTATCTTAATTCCCCACAGGGAAGAGGGAAGAGGAATATTTATTAAGCGACACTCTCCAAGCCACTTTACGTGCATTATCTTATTTAAAGTGTTCAGCAATTTTCTGTTTCATTATTTTGCAAATGAAGAAACGTAGGCTCAGAGAGATTGTAACTTGTACATGTTCAGAGTGTGGTGGAACCAGAATTTGAACCTTGATTCTGTTTGACTTCAGAGCATGAAGTCTTTCCTTTACAAGTTTGAGGAACTGATCTGTAGAGAGTGTCTACTCTAAAGCCTCAAGGCCTCGGCCCCTCATTCTCTGCTCCTTCCTTGTCTTTCCTTGGTCTTCCATCCCTGTCCTCCTCGATGAATTATGACCTCCTCAATGATTATGTCCATTATCCTCAGAATGGCGGGGTTTTCGGGCATAACTAAAGCTGGAACTTTGAGTCCTCTGGTGTGTGGGATTCTACCTCCTCCCAAATATTGAACTGCATAACTTAACATGCAAAGAGGGTTTTAAAATTTTTCTTTGTTTGCTTGCTTGTTTTTTCCAAAGGAGTAAAGAGGATCTGGTGAAAGAGCTGGGGGTGAGAGTGATAGTGGAGGGGCTACGTGGCATCCCAGTGGACGTTTGCCATTTTAATTTTTTGGACCTTCTAACTTTTTTTTTTTTTTAACTAAAGGACATTTATTTGTTTCTCACTAAGACTTTGTCTTGAGGACGTAACTAAACCGCGTCACCACCCCCACCCTGATTTGAAGAAGGGTTAGTACAGTGAATGTTATAAAGCAGATACGAACAGTCTGAAGGACCGGAAACAACATTAACTGACAAAAACCAACTTCCACCTATATCGTCATAAAAATGTTAAAGTAAAAAAAAAAAAAAGGAGTGGAGAGAAGGGGGCAAAGGGGGTTTCAGATTGAACAAGATCCTGTTTCATCTAATACACTCAATCCTGGCTAGAGTGTACCAAGATGGAGACAGGATTTACTGTAATACAAAACTCCTGCTACAGCACACTGTACACACCTGGGTGTTCCAAGCCCACCCCCATCCCCCTAACGCTTCCAAACTCAACTATTTCCCGGCCTGTTGGGCCTGTCGACGAAGGAGCACGTAGATCTTCTCTTTACTCCAGTCTTTGTTATAATGCTGGTATGTCTGGGTATCAGCTCGGTAAACAAGGCAGCTGAGGTCTGCCAGGTCATCAACGAAGTCAAATAACTGACTGATATCATATGTGATAGAGGGGCTGTTGGGATTCATTCTCTTCAGGTGTTCTTCATACATTTTACAAACACCTTCCATGCATTCATTCACAGATTCATAGTCAGCATAAGTTCTGCTTCTGGCCTCTTGGTAGGCTGTACCAGCAAAATGGTGTGAGACATCGCGCCAAACTCTCGCTGCCGCCGCTGCCGACTCCGCCGCCGACTCCGCTCTGGACCTTCTAACTTCTGAATCCTCTCTGTATATTTAAGACTTTCACAGTGTGAGGGGAGAGGTCCAGACAATTGTCCTGGCCTCTTTGTAGCCTGAATGCGGCACATGACTGAGGCCTAGGCAATGAGACAAAGCTTGCAAGGGCTCTGAATTGGGAGCTAGTGAGCTAGAGGAGGTCTGGGCCAGAAGCTGAGAGATTAGTGTCACCGAAAGACTTTGTCAATGTCTGGGAACCATCAGCATCCCTTGGGGGCCAAGGAACAGTACAACCCACCGTCGGATAAGAGGCTGTCCTTCCACTCTGCTTCTGGTTGCCACTCAGCCACAGCCCTGGGCATGGCTGGTACCCTGAGGACTTCGGGTTCATCAGGGAAAGACCCCTGAGTTCTATAGGGGTGTCTTTGTATCCTCCTGAGGGGCACCGTTAGTAGAGGGGCCAGGACCCTCAATGAGGAGCTGGGGCAGAGAACACGAGCAACTTTTTTCTGGGCACTCGTTAGATGCTCTCCCAGGGAGGGAGGGAGACTGGGAGGATTCAAAGGGGTGGTTTCTGTGTGAGCAGGTGGCAAAGAGCCATGATACTTTGGAACAGATGAGGTCTGAGGTATTCAGGTGACCTATACATTCAAGAGATGTCTCATCAAAAACCCTGCCAAAGAGTGTGGGCTTGAAGCCGTAAAGATCGATTTCATATCTCACCTCTGACACAAATAAGGTGTGTCAGTGACATGTCACAGAAATGGAGTCACAATGTTCACATCTGTGAAATGGCATAATAATGCACCTTTATCTACAATTTGTAGGACAGTCATGAATAAATGAGAGTCTGTTAGTTAAAGAGCAAGACGCTTTTGGGGGGAGCCAGGGCTTAGGTACCAGCCACACCTATACCTTAGAAAACACTTACTACATTAGCCAGAGGCAACTAATGGAAAAAAGCTAATGTTTTGATCTCCTCACATTTGCCTGTAACACATATTTAGAGCATTCTGACTAGTAATTCTGTTCTTTTGGCTGAGAAGTCTTTGGAAACACAGTGGAGTGGACATCTGTTTGTTTGATTTTAGGGGGGCACAGCATCCCTTCTTTAGGATTTTCCTCCCCAGACCTGAGTGGTTCTGATGGGGCTACCGATCTCAGTACTCAGGCTCCTGATCACAAGAATTGCATGTGGCCCAGACAACTAGAGCACATAGTTCTATCTGGAATCCAATCTGGAACAGAGACACATGCGGTCAAAGCCCTCTGGTGCCACGTTCAATGGCAGTACATTAGAGAAATGGAGACCACAGGCTCCTGCCCACTGAGGCCCATGCTGCTATCTTGTCTGTCTTTCTGAAACCATTTCTTCAGCTTTTCCTTGACTTATGTCCAGTAACTCCCCTCTCCTATTTATGTTATAGTTTAGTTCTGTTGCTCAAAGTAAAAAATGTCTTTACAGAGTGATTTTTAATTTGTATAAAGGATGGAAAATATCACTTAAAACTAAAACAGTAAAGTAGCTTTTGATTTTAAGGGGGAGGGTGGTTTCAAGATGATGGTGATCTATTTCCAGGTCATCCCCTTCCTCTTGCAGAGGCTGGTGAGAGGGTGAGGAGAGAAGATGGTGCGTCTCCCAGCAGAGCCGTGCCTAGTGGGACACAGAAAAGGGTTGAGATAGGGCTGAATTGCTCTGCCTAACAAAGCAGGAGAAGTTTCTGGAAGACAGTAAGCAAAAAGATGGCAGGAGCCTAGAAATTAAGGGCAAAGTAGCCAGAGGAATTTTGAGAATAAGAATAACACATTTGATGTGAAATAGTTTGAATTGTTTCACTGTAAATTCAATATCCATTTCCCCATGGAAAAAGTCAACTATGCACAAATTTCTGTATGACTGAATGTGTGTGTGTGTGTGTGTGTGTGTGTGTGTGTGTGTGTTTATTAAGGAAAGGGCCTAGGATCTATGTCTAGCATGATATGGTGCAGAATAGGGGTGGTAAAAATACGGGAAGGCAAGACGATCCATACACTAAACCACTTTAGCAAAATAGGGTGCGTTCATTCCTCCTGGAGAGATTGGGTGGCACACAGGCTTGCCTCTGCAAGTGGTTTCATTTTAATCTCAGAGAGCAGAGTGCATCAGCTAACATCTGGTTTATAGGACTGTATTCACAATCCACACATGGATTTTGATGAGACAGGGGAGAGCTTGGAAGACAAGTAGGAAAGAACCTTGTTCCTCTAGAGCAGGGTTTGGTAAACCACAGCTGTTGGTGTAAATACTTTTACTGCTACACAGAGGGCTCATTCGTGTACATCATTTCTATGGCTGCTCTCACCTGTACGGGCAGAGGCGATTTGCCACAGGAACCACGTGGATCGCAAGGCCTAAAATAGTTACTCTCTGGCCCTGTAAAAGAAAGTTTGCCTACTTCTGCTCTAGAGGCTAAAAAAAAAAGCCTTATAGGAATAGGCAGCCTTTGGCTTAAGTTTTAAAGAAGGTCCTACATATTTGGCCCATAACCCTGAGGTGATGTGACATGGTTTATTTCAAGAGAAACCAGGTAAAATCTAAACCAAGTACCAGAATGCCTTTTTAAAAAATTTTGTCAGTGAATCTCTTAATTTTCCTCTTCTCTTGTCTACTGTTAGAATCAATCTGGTAGAGGGTAGAGGGCATGGATATGGGATTAAATGGTTATAGACCTGCATCCTGGCTCTTCAACATACTGGTTGTGTGATCTGGAGCAATTTGCTTCACTGAGAAATCTGTTTTCTTATTGGTAAATGGGTAGAATAAAGCCCATTACATGGGGCTGTTGTGAAAACTAAATGATATAACACTCAGTGCGCCTAGATTTTTGAAAACTCTCAATAGCTATCACCCACACCCTTCTCTCCCTACCCTCAACTCTTTGCTGTACTTTGTGCATATGAAGGAGAGCTTCATGATTAGCCAAGTGTCCCCAAGGTCATCTTTTTGCTACTAAACAGTAGTAACTGTCATTTGCTTGGCTCCATGCCAGCCAGGAGATTAGGACAGGCTGATGGAGTAATAATTCAGATCTGCTGGGTTCCCTAGGAGTTCCCCAACCTTCTGAGCCCAAATTCTTGAGTCTGGGCCTCAGTGCATGTATGGAGCGGAGGAGGCCAAGGCCAAGAAGGGTTTTAGGCCAGGCCTGTAGAGGTACCAGTGGCCCAGCAGCAGAAAAGCCCAGACAGAATATTTAAGATAATTTAGGACAAACATCTTCTCTTTGGATTTGTGGACCAGGTTTAAGATCCCAGAGACCTGACATGGGAACTGGTTTCTGTGAATAGAGGATTCCTGCTTGAACAAGGCAATACACCAACTTATACCCCACAGAGAAATCACCTGCCTACCTGCCTTTTGGGCAAATACCTTACACACTAAAGTGCCTGAAAAGTCTGGCCTCTTGGACTTGAGTGTATCGTGGAACTCCCCTGGCTGCTGTGTTGTTTCTGTGTGAGAGGAGGAAAAGCCTCTCTCCTACCTGGCTGCCAGGCCAGCTCCCAGTGGCGCTGAAGTTAGAAGAGCTCTAGTCTCCTGGGTGAAGGTTTAAGTCCTCTTCATCGTTGAATGCACATTAAGACCTCTTCAGGTTCATAAAATTCATTGATTGGTAGCCACCATCATCTGAGCCCTTGCTAAGCGTCAGCTGATGTAATTGAGTCAGATTTGTTTCTCTAACAGATTTGTTTCTTTGTTTCACAGAGTCATAAAGTGTGCATGTGTATGAGAGAATGAAAAGTCAGATGAAAAAATTATCTAGAATGTACTAAAACATTAAAAAATTATATATGTTTTGATCTGTGAAATTAATCTTGATTGTAATTTATGTCAAACATTTTATTTTACAGATAAAGTAAATAAAACTGTAACATGTAATAAATAAGTTGTCCAAGTTCACATGACTAATTTTGTCAAAGTCTGGGTGAGAACTCACTTCCCCTGACTTTATGTATTTATTTATTTATTTATTTATTTATGGCTGTGTTGGGTCTTCATCTCTGTGCATGGGCTTTCTCTAGCTGTGGCAAGTGGGGGTCACTCCTCATCGCGGTGCGCAGGCCTCTCACTATCGCGGCCTCTGTTGTTGCGGAGCACAGGCTCCAGACGCGCAGGCTCAGTAATTGTGGCTCACGGGCCTAGTTGCTCCATGGCATGTGGGATCTTCCCAGACCAGGGCTCGAACCCGTGTCGTCTGCATTGGCAGGCAGATTCTCAACCACTGCGCCACCAGGGAAGCCCCACGTGGATCTTATTTCTAATCTTCACCACAAGCCGGCTAGGCTGGACTTGTTACCCCCATTTTAGAGATGATGAAATTGAGGGTTAAGAAGTTAAATCACTTGCCCGAGACAAAGGTGGTGAAGTCTAACTCTAAAACCACACTCCAAAGCTCCCTTGCCATATCTATGTTGCTTTTGCTCACAAAGATCTAGATCAGTGTTTCCCTACCTGCCCAAGCTCTCCCATGGAGATTCTGATTTGGTGAGTCCGAGGTGGGTTGGGAGAATTTAGGATTTGATAGGTGATTCTTGTCATCCAGGAAATTGGGAAACACAGGTAGTCATCGAACTCCTCCCTCCTTATCTTCAAACTGTGACTCTTACAGGGAGACTGAAGTCAGGCATGTGTACGAGACACCAGTCGCTATAAAATCCAAGCATGAAGAGATGAAAAAGCTCAAATTCGATAACAGCTCCGTTTCTTAAGAGCCTGACAAGATTTCTTGGGGATCTGAGATATATGACATGGACTAGTAACCATGACTGGGATAATTGTGCTGAATTAGCTTAATTAGCTGTTGTAGACTGGCTTTAGCAGATGCCAGCTGTGAAAATGGTCAGAATGAACTAGACAGGCCTCAGAATGACTGAGAGTAGATTTCTTGGGCTGTGAGACCATCGTGGGCTCAGTGACATGGGAGGTGGAAGATGGTTGCAGTGACAAAGCTGCAGGGAAGATGCTGAGTCACAA